CATCATCCATCACGTTTCAACTGCCTCTTCAATTCCAGGATGCCCTGAAGCTCTGTAAGGCTTGCGATGCCCAAATCGACAGTTTCAATACTTTGTCAGTGTGGGACTCCGACTGGCGGGAACTGGTCTCCGCGTCCTGCTCCAAACCCCGTGGTCCGTGAGCCTCAAGTTCCCACAGAGCACAGCGTCATGGTCACCGATGCCCAACGACCACTGGCAGAGGCAGTATCATCACGACAAGTACCTGGGTGACTCGCACTAATGTCCACGGCAGATGATACACGTTTCTTGGGTCCAGATCACAGTTGAGACAGCTCGCCGTGGGTCTTCTCCCATACCAGTACCGCGGTAAGCACCGTCGAAATGTGCCCCGGTGCCGGGATTTGGGAGGCTGACCTCTATGTGAACCAGCGATCCATGGCATTGGGCGGGCCCTTGCTATCCCGGTCGATGCCGCTCCTCGATGGACTGGTTGCCGCTGTTCATCGCCAGCGTTCCAGCCGCTCGGTGTCGCGCGCGCTTCGTACATGGCGGGATTCCCATGGTCTTGCAGCGCCTCGCCGAGGACAGGAACACCAGGATCATAACGTCCGGCCCATCGACTACCATGAGAGCGTCTTCCAGTGAATAAGGCCTACAGCTGCTGTGCGTGACCGTGTTCCGTGCTCGGGGTTCGAGCATAGTATGAGAGTTTCTAGTGAACATGTGCGCGTATGACCGGCGGGATCCCGCTTATGCGCGCATTATGTTGATATCTGTACAGGAATGACCGACCATCATTAATTCTCTGTATCCTTGGAGGATTGCCTTCGCCAACAGTGCACGACTCGGACAGCTTCTTAGCGCGGCCGCCATGCGCAGTGAAGTACGCGTACCACAGAACACTCCCGACGCAGCAGGCACTGAAGGCGTAGCCTGCGGCCGTCATCCAGTTGTGACGTTACGGGGAGCGTGGAGGAATTGCGCACAGGCACGAATGTGGTCGCCACCCGACAACAATTGCAAGACGCCCATGTGTCGACGTGGTGTTCCACCCTGCCAAAAACGAATGCAGTGCTTCGTGGAAGTCTGTACCTCCATCCACCACCCATGTCATCCGGTATGCGGCACCTTGAAGTTCCCGTACTCATTTCCGAATTTCCAACATACTGGGGCGTTGTTTTCGGGAAGGTGTGATGTGTGCACGTCTCGGAGGGCACACGGCAAAGTTGACAAGTATGTGTACCACATTTCTCTTCCGTGACATTCGATCCTAGCCTCACGGACATGGACGCCGCGGTGATGGGACGCTGCTCAAGGTCCTGGTAGCTGGATGCGCAGTATGGACGGCAATTGTTTCGACTGCGTGAAGCTCTGCTGAGCTGCGTCTCTCGGTGCCGCGTTTCGCGGTTCTCGGTCGCAGTAGGCGTTTCGCGGGCCAAGAACCGCTCGAACTTGGTCTCGGCGGCGGCAAGATACATACGTGCATTCTATACATGGTCCCAAGCGCCACAACAGAATGACAGGGCTTATTCGAATTGCAAAGTGCTGGGACCTCCGTCCCGCAATCAACCTGATTGATGCTAGCGTCTCCACTCGGTCGGCGGTGAGAATTGCCCATTTCGACTTGTTTCGCTGTGCTCACAGCTTGGTCGAACTAGGAACCGCGCCCTCCGTGCTGGTGTAGTGCTTCTCCCAGACCTGTCGGGGTGACAGCGACCTAACGCTATGCGCGCCATATTGACTCATGTCCGTTCTCACCGATGAGTGAGCGCGTTTGTCCAGCTACGTTCCTGACGCGGACTCCGGCACACTTGTTCCCGACGCGCAGCTTGGCAGTATAAAGGCTGCAAGGACCAGAACGTTTTCCTCAGCAGTCTTAGACAAGCTTCAACTCCACAGCAGTCCTCGACCAGCCCTCCGTGCTCACAGCGATGGCATTCACTTCCCTCCTCGCCCTTGTTGCTCTCGCCGCGATCACTCGTGCGGCGCCGACCACCATCTGCCCTGATGGTACCCGCGTCAGCAACCATGTCTGCTGTGACTTCATTCCTGTGCGCACATCGTTATGATTACAACTTGTTCGACGATACTGATTCGACATTATTCCAGCTTGCACAGGCCCTGCAGAGCACGCTCTACATGGGCGACTGTGGTGAAGATGGTGTGTGGTATCTGAGCTGGAATGCTGTTCAGTCTGCTGACTGTAGCCTTAGCACACGAGACCATTCGTTTGACCTTCCGTAAGTATACGATGATCCTCAAAATCGGAAATTGACTAATACCTCACTTCAGACGATGCTATCGCGATTTCTCAAAGCCAGGGCCCTTCTGCGTACGTGATTGTCGATTTTCACTGAAGCGACATATAACCGACGTTCAACTTCAGTGGTGGCGGAGCTGACGGCTCTATGCTCATCTTCCCCACCGTGGAGCCGTTCTTCCACGCGAATGCTGGTATCGACGACAGTGTCAACAACCTCATCCCCTTCCTGGATAAGTTCCCCACGATCACTGCTGGTGATCTTATTCAGTTTGCGGGTACCGTCGCGCTCAGTAACTGCCCGGTAAGTTGAGCCACATTCTACACCAATGGATTTGTCATATTCATCAACTTTGCAGGGCGCGCCTCAGCTTGAGTTCCTGGCTGGTCGCCCCAATGCGACAGCTCCTGCCGTTGATGGTCTGATCCCGGAGCCTCAGGACAACGTTACGCACATCCTGGAGCGTTTCGCTGATGCAGGAGGCTTTACTCCTTTCGAGGTTGTCTCTCTGCTTGCATCTCACACCGTTGCCCGCGCCGACAAGGTGGATTTGACCATTGATGCCGCTCCTTTCGATTCAGTGAGTCACCGTCTGCTTACTAGGACATGTAACATCTACTGATATTCCAAAACCAGACGCCGTTCACTTTCGATACTCAGATCTTCCTCGAGGTCCTGCTCAAGGGTGTGGGCTTCCCGGGAACCGACAACAACACCGGTGAAGTGGAGTCACCCCTTCCCCTGGGCAACAACAAGCAAGGCGGCAACGACACTGGCGAGATGCGCCTCCAGTCCGACTTTGCTCTTGCCCGTGATGACCGCACCGCGTGCTTCTGGCAAGGCTTCGTCAACGAGCAGGAGTACATGATGAGCAGCTTCAAGGCTGCCATGTCCAAGCTCGCCATCCTCGGACACAACCGCAACGACCTCATCGATTGCTCTGAGGTCGTGCCTACGCCCAAGCCCCCCGTCGGCAAGCCTGCGTCGTTCCCCGCCACGACTGGCCCCCAGGACCTTCAGCTCACCTGCAAGTCTGAGCGGTTCCCCTCGCTCACCATTGACCGTAAGTACCCTGGACTCCTTTCGAATCGTGCGGTACATCTGACGTCTATATTCCGACAGATGGTGCACAGGAGACCCTCATTCCCCACTGCTCCAACGGCGGCCAGGACTGCCCTACTGTCCAGTTCACCGGCCCTGCGGGAGAGGACGACTCATAGATCATCCACTCATCACTCATTTACTGTCCCTCGTTCCCGTAAGTGGGAGGTACATACAGAACTGTTATAATATCGGGACCGCCGGAGTGGATTCGTCACACTATCTATTGGGCTGTTCGGAGTAATTATATAGATGTTATTGAAAAATGGCATATTGTTATTCGATGCAACTACGAGGATGAGGACTGCGCCAGCCTAAATTATTGTGCTCGATTTTCTACTTGACACTCAGTGCAAGGTCGCAGCGACGCGCGTCATCGAGAGGTTCCGCTTTCGGGCATACTCATACTGAATCAGGAAGCTCACTGAGTTACGTCACATACATCTGGACATTCTGAACTCCGTCCAGCTTTTCTTGGGAGACTGCTTGTATAAGCATAGCTGTTGCGTCGCAACGCCCGCCGACGTCATCTAGTGACCCTATAACGTCATGTAACTTTCAACTCCGGCCTTGTACCCGATCGCGCTCACAACATTGGTATCTACTATATGCGCCCCGTCGAGCTATATAAACCCCGTTTGTGCGTTCTTGCCCCCACGACCTGTGTCTATTGTCTCCCCATAACATGGCACTTCTATCAAGACCTAGGCTCTCCCGCGCAGAGCTCCTCGCTAAACGACTCGCGGATGACCCTCCAGGCGCTCGCGAAGAATACGAACGAGACCTGACCGGCATTGTTCACTTCAAGAAAGTCAGTGAGCCCACCCTCAGGAGTCACGAACGCCTCAAGTCGTATTGGAGAGACTTTGCTCGAACGCGCACAGAAGAAACCCAAGCATTGCCTGTGGAGTACGAGTCTGGTGAGATCACTATCGGTGTGCCTGCCCCTGACGCTGGTTAGTGCACATTATTCTCGTGCAACACCAGCTATTCACTGGGCCCTCCCAACATAGCTACCATTAAGGCTTTTGTGGACTGGATGGCCACGGCTCTTCGAGGTCGTCTCAATAGCCACATTAATCGAAGGACACTCCAATCCAACACGCAGACTTTCCTCGCGTTTTGGCCACGCTACGCCGGAGTCACCATCGAAACTCATATCCAAAATGAAGTCAAGCTGTATGCGGCATCCTGCATCGAATGATCAAATATTATTATTCGGATAGAAATCCAGGGCTGATAGCAATGCTAATACAGAGTAAGGGTGCCGCGACCGCACGCACCCATGTTTTTCAAGGGGATCGCCAATTCTGAGTTCCGGTCACGCGAATATAGTAACTCAAACCCACTACATACATCAGAGTTATGCTATTAACACTCGAATGCTTGGACTACGCGCAGCTTCTTTCAGAGGATGGCCAACTTAATGTGCATCTTTGTCTTGCTCTCCTCCCCCATGTTTGTGCGCACACCCCAGGCGTGTAAGTCAGCGTTGAACGTTGATCTGTCGCCACCTTTGAGCGTTCGACCAAAACAAATTAAATCTGATTCGTGTAGATCTCTCAGTTGTTGAGAACGCCAGGGGAAACCCGTCAGGAACAACCAGACAAGTTCAAAAAGTTCTCGATTGACGGCACGAACAAGAGGGAAAATAATGGGCTTGACCGGGAATCGAACCCGGGACCTCCTCCAGATGACTAAGCAGACAGCTTTTCCCTAAGAAGGAATCATACGACTAGACCATCAAGCCTTGTTTGGAAGAACTCACACTGCCCATCGTATGCATCGTTCAGGTCGAGTCAGTTCAATTGGAAACAATCGTGTAATGTATCACTCGCAATCCTTCGACGTTTGGTTCTTTTCCGAGCTACCAGGTTCAGGAATCATACAGCTAGACCATCAAGCCTTGTTCGAAGGAGCTCACACTGCCCATCGTATATACACCGGGTTAGTTCGAGCCAGCTTGATTGAAGACATTATCGTGCAACGTATCACTCGTAATCCTTCGGCGTTTCGTGCCTTTCAAGCTGTGAGACTTGAGATTGACAATCCATGGAATCGACTACACAAATGAGCTATAGTACAGCATTACTCGGCCATCAATGTTCGTGGAATTCGGCCCCCTTTAGATCATCCTTTCATACACGTACAAATGGGCATATCGTTGTGGAGCGGTGTTGCTATTTACTGACGAATGTTGAAGCTGCACACATGGAAGTCAGTCTTCTAGTCGTAACAAGTAATAGTTGGGGTCACTCACGCATCGCTACGCCACTCGCTACCACTGCTCGCGACTTGCTGCTGAGCCGCCGTCTTCTTCACCCAGCCTTCAGGGTGGCCCTTGTCTGGGAGGAGCTCGTGGCCAGGCTGAGTGACAACCTTGAACTGAGCGTTTCTCTCGTCAGCCTTGCCCTTGACGTGCTCGGCCTGCGCCTTCTGACGGTCGAACAGTTGCTGATGTGCGGGTCAGAGTGACGTCACCAGAAGCGACGCAGAGATTACTCACCTCCTTGAGGACCTGCGCACGGTTGGTATCGTCGCGTTGCTTTGCCTCTGCCATCTGATCGCGCACGGAGACGAGCTGTCCGTCGACGTACTCGAGCGCAGTGGTGACGGCCTGGCCAATCGCCTTCTGGAGCTGCTTCTTAATGAGGCCCGTCGCGAGTGGGCCAAGCGCCTTGTAAAGCGTGTCGTGCTTCGAGTCGCGAATGCTGAACTTGAGGCTGTCGACCTTGACGTTCACATCCTTCACGTGGAAGACGGACGAGCGGTCGCGCGTAGCCGACGCGATGTGTGCGGTCACCGTCATGCCGGTGCCGCCAAGCAGGACATCGGCGATCCCAGAGTCGGTCATCTTCGGCATTCCGGTCTTCTTGCGGTAGTAGAAAGCCATGTCGCGCATGTCGGCATGGATCTGACTGAAAGTGAGCGTGACCTCATGATGCTGCTCGTCCCTGAGGTGGAGCTTATCAGCGTATTGCGTGTGCATTCGGCGTGGACGTACTTACCCGATGTTCTTGTAGGGACTGAACTTCAAGAAGTTGCGCGCTTCCATGCTCACAACGTTCGGGAAGAGATTCGAGCCGGCGAGTGCCATGTTCTCGATTACAAGATCAATGGCATCGTCGGTGTACTCGATACGCGGAATGGGTACGTAACCGATCTATATCAGAGTTCATTAATATGCTACTTGCAAAAATATCTGATGTGGTACGCACCCAGTCAATGAGACCCGGCAGGATGACATTCTTGATATCCTGCCACAACTCGGGCTTGTACTGCAGGTTCCCGTCCGAATCGAAGAGCAGGTCTTTGGTGAGCTTGGCCCAGCCACTGCCCCACCTGCAACGATCATCATCGGTACACCTTCATAGCCTCTCTACAGATATAGACTTACCTTCTGTTGAGAGGGTCGGAGCCAAAGGCCGAGAACCAATCGGTGATAGAGTTGAACAAGTTGTCGAAATGACCCTTGTACTTGCCGTCGTAGAACTGACGGCCGTTGTCACGCAAAGTATTAGCCTGCTCGTTGCACTGGTCGTCGAGTACAAAGCCAGGCTGGAGGAGCACTTCGCGTATGTACGCGTCGACATCGTGGAACCAGTGGCGCAGGCCCTCGTCGTTCTGGCTGTCCTCGTACAATGCGCGCATCGCGTTCCCGATCTGGTCGAGGCTTTGACCATTCGCGAAGCGTTCGAGGAGTGTGCGAAGCTCGGACATGGACTGCTGCAGCGCGGGATCGGAGGTCAGCTTCTGGTGTGAGTCCTTGCCGTGCTCAGCGACGGTGCGACCGTGGCTCGCGTACTCTTCGATGATGTCGAGTAGCCACTGCATCGATTCCTTGTAGTCACGGTGGTTCTGGCACTCATATATGGCCTAGAGGATGAGGGTGAGTATGGTGCTGCATTCAGGCGGACAGCAAAACGTACCTTCTTCATGCGCCAGATCAGTTGGTCCCGGCGCTCCTCCGGGAAGTACTCTTCGCGGAAGAAGTCTTTGACGCGCTGGGTGTGCTCCTGCGCCTTATCGCGGTGCTCAGGCGGGACGGCCCCGGTGAGCGAGTCCTTCACGCTGGCCATCTTTTGCTGCAGGCTACGCTTCTTCTGCTGAGCTTCCTCCTGGTCATTCGGGACAGGATCGTCGCCCACGCGTTGTCGAATGTCCTGTTGCTGGTTCTGGGCTTCCTCCTACGAGAATTGTTAGCTTCATAGAGATAGTAATTAAAATCACTAGTGCATACCTGTGCACGCTGCGCGAGACAATTCCTCGTCTGTTGTGCCTCATCCGCAAGCTGGTCTGCGCGCTTCTCTTCGCCGCTCTCGGTTTGCAGCCGAGTCCCTTGTATCGGATCCTCATGGCGTGGATCATGTTTGACGCGATGTCCAGTTCCGGGAATCTGCACCTCAGGAACCTTGGACACCGACTCGTCAAAATCATTTCGATGCAAGCAAATGTGTGCTGTGTACTTACGGGAGTTTCATTGGGGCCAACCTCGCGACCTCCCTCTGAGACAAAGCGGTGGTCCGGCGCAGGTTCGTCAACGCGGCGCAGGCGCTCCTCATCAGGGCGAGTCATTTCAGCGGCCTTCATGGCGCCACGCGATAGGAGATCCCGACCGATGACCGAGAAGTCCTCGATGAGCTTGCGGACTTCAGAGTTGGTGAGAACGAGGGAGGCGAGCGTGCGGAGGTGCTGTTGCGCAGTCTGCGCATCCGAGCGGACCTTGTCATTGTCGACGGGGAGGACCTCGTTGGGATCCTTCTTCGCGCGGTCGGTATCCACATCGCGGGTGTGCCAGACAAAGTTCTGGAGCAACTCTCCAGAGTTCTTCTCTTGCACAAGAGTGCGGGTGGAGTCGAGGATGTCCCGGATGTCTTGAATGAGTGTCTGACCGGCAGGCGACAGCTCGTCGGTTGGGATGGGAGAATGGTCAATGGCATATGTGAGGGCGGCATCAATCTGGTCATTAGTGGGCACGCGAGATTGTTGGAGGGCCGAGACGACGCCGTAGAAGCGGAGCTTGCGCTCGATGTCGCGGTTGGCCTTCTCCTTGTCGACAGGGTTGGTAACGGAAAAGGCAGAGGGCTTCTCGCTGATATCTTTCTGAGCAGTGGGGAGAGACATGATGCTAAAGTTACAGGAAATCTTGGGGTACGAGAATCATAGGAGACCCACCTTTATACTGTCGCCATGAGCAGCGTCATAGCAGGGAGGAGTGACCGACTTGGCGGTGGCTCTCGAGTGATGTCAGCGCTGGGCATGCAAGAGGAAACCATTGCGGATACACTCCACTCCATGTACTCCCTCGCTCATGATTGTCCACAACTCTGGCGCTTTCGCCTGTCTTCTCCTCAGATGAGTCCCACTTTCCTCTCAGCGGTCCCCATTGGCTCATCTGGCGCAGCGATTTAGGGTATGCGACCTGTCGCATTCATCCAGGTACGAAGACACGTTGAGCAGATCCGAGCGCCGTAGATACTTCCGCAATCTCGTCTGGCGCCACATTGATGTCACTCCTGCGACATAGCATCAGTGGGCTCCCTTGCAACGCGGTCGAATCCACTGTGTACTGAATACACCTGAGTATTCAAGCACATTCTGGGAGATCAACCATTATGACCGTCCAGCCCCGTATACGATACCGATTCAGCCCTACAACACTGGAGGTCGAGGCCGTAGAGCATGAGATACTTGGCCTCGGAAAATCATCTGACGAGATGCAGCCTCAAAGAGTATATATGGATATGCAGTTGCTCGGTTGAAAGAACGGTACATCGTATTGCGCAGGGTCAGATCTAGTCGTCGGAGGCCAGCGTGGACTGGAAGGCACAATCAGGCGCGGAGGAGCAGACAAATTCGGCAATCGTTGTCAAAGCCATGTCATGTGATGTTGCACTGAGCGTCGAGGACGAGGACTCTGGCATCTGCCACCCACAGGCCACGGCTCTCGGAAGGGGCCGCTTCTTGTTGCAGGCGGATTGCGCGCAGCGAACGGCGCGCAGTAACTCTGGTCCACGAAGCTAAAATTTGACTTGCCAATCCAGAGACATCCAGGTCAGACGTGCTGTCACCAGCCTGCCCGGCATAGCCCAGCACGCGCCGTTGCAGCCTTGCAGGGGTGCTTGTGCTTCACTTCTTGCGGATACTGAGCCTCAGTCCATAATTTACATTCAATCACACAGATATATGTTGCTTTGGCTCGAGGTAGCCCCGGGATCTAGGAAACCCGCTCGGAAGGACCTAACACCGCGTGATTCGAGACGCACAGCCCAACATAACCACTCTCACAAGGTTCAGATGTGGTTGAACGGTGATACGCCGGCTCCGCGATGGGTCCACCTAACATTAGTAATGATTGAACTTACCAACCCACATACAATCGATGTACTGTTTCCGGACTTCGCTTCATTCTGCAGATCGACATTTCATCTTGATTCAGATGCTACGAGTCAATAGATTTTCGATAGCGATGAGTATGGAATCAGCATCTGCTACCAAAAATCAGCGAAGATTGCGACAATACCTTTTGCATCAGTCGCACACGTACGGGTGCTTGATGCTTCCCGTATCTTAGGATGTACCTGGTTCTTCCGAATCAGAGTGGCCCTGTCAAGTCGAACTTAACCTTATGTTACGGCGGTCACAGGCGGGGACGTCCTTTCTCCGACAACGGTGGCTCATCTCAATCAACCTCCGAGATAACTGTGTTGAAGCTGATACTGCAGGCGACAAAGGAATTGATCATGAATG